ATGGCACTTAGTATATTGTCCATAATACCCATTATAAATCCACGCCTATCCTCTTCTGTGTAACTTTTGTCGTAGATAATTCGCATTTGTCGTATGAATGTTGATTTGCCCGATTCACCAGTTCCCAAAAGTAGAAGTTTGATTTTGGCTCCTTCCTCTTTTTGACTTCGACGAAGTTGGGAGTTAATCTGCATATTTATGCGACTAGCTTCGCTCATAAAGCAACAGCAAAACATTACGCTATATAATAAATAAAAAATGAGTTAAGTTATTATTCCCAGATCGAGTAAATGTTTACTACTAGTACTTTAAACACAAATGATTTCAATATATACTTAATCATATTATTTAAAATTTATTAATAACTACAAATAAAGAAACAACGTCTTTTTTTGTGGTTAAGTACGTCTTGTACAGGCCTCTATAAATCTAGAAAATCTCTTACGCAGAATTATGTATATACGCTTTGTTCCCTTATTTTTTAATAGTACAGCTAATAAAAGAGCAAATGATCAAAAATTTATCTTACGTGTGGTACCATGGCATAATTATGGAAGGTAATCTCATTTGAGAAATTGATAATGGCAACCCTTTTTAATATGGAATTCATATATCGATTTCAAATAAAATGAAAAATAAATTTAAATATGTACATATGTCAATTGGCATACATATTTTAAGTAAATTAAACAAAATATATTTTCTAAAGCTGAGCATTGCTCTCAATATTTAACCATGATTGTTTAAGCCTCTATTTATTTAGAGCAGGGATGGAAAATGAAGAATGTGAAAAGGTACCAAAAGAGTACTTTTTTTAATAAAATAGTACTTTTTTCAAGAAAGATAAAAAAAAACATTTTATTCAGTTTCATAAAGATCGATTTTCAAGATATCATCATTTAGTCTATAATATTTGAGAATTCTTGCTTCTTTCGATTGCATTTGAATATGTATGCTATTGAGTAATTTTAATTTCACTACCTCTATCTCGAAAGCGAATATACCCCAAACTAACAGGAATTTCAGTTCCAAAGTGCTCTTGAAATTATTGAAGTAATCACGACGACTATGAATGTCATTAATTTGCCTACCTCAGGAGATAACACAGAGTACGCCAAATTGAGTATCTGACAAACATATATGGTTAAAAAAGATTGGAACTGATAAATTAATTTAATGCTTATAATTCATCATAACTGAACAGTTATCAGTAGTAAACCCATTCATTTTTTAAGAAGAATATTGCATACACATCAATATCTTTGCCGGTCAAATCCATAACAAATTCTAATCCAAAAACAAAATATATATATATATATATATGGTTTAATGGAGGTTTGGAATGGTACTGAAATGGTCACGGGGTACTACGGTACTTTTTTGGGTAAAAAGGTATTGAAAAAAGTACTATTGTACTAAATTTTCCGTCCCTGATTTAAATAATTTAGCAATTTTTGCCACTGAATTCTGTCAAAGGCAAATTTTGAAAAAAATTGAAAAATATGAATGCATGAGGCTACCTTGTATAGTTATGCCATGGTGTGGTACATAAGAAGCGGAACTACTTTGAAAACAAAAACTATAAAAATATGAATATATAAATATGATATATAAATTCCTTAAAATTGCTGGTTACTATGTTATGACAAACCATTCATCAGTAGGAGTAGCAATGAAAAAACAGGTTGCATTACATGGCATAATTATGGAAGATAGTCTCATTTGAGAATTTATGATGGCAACCCTTTTTAATTTGGAACTCATCATGATGCAATAATAAGGTGATGTATTACAACAACAACCTTTGTTTTTGTCTCGACCATGATGCAATAATAAGGTGATGTATCACAACAACAACCCTTGTTTTTGTCTGGATTATCTGTCAAATTTCTCCATATAATATTTCAAATGGTTGGCAACATTGCACATCGAATTCAAGTAGAAATTACCCACTTTGACAGTTAATCAAGACATCAGCTGCGCTAAATGGACTACCTATTCATTGTGCCATGGTCTCGACCATCTGTCAAATTTTTCCATAACATTTCACACGGTTGGCAACATTGCACATCGAATTCAAATAGAAATTACGCATTTTGACAGTTAATCAAGACATCGGCTGAGCTAAATGAACTACCTATTTATTGTGCCATGGAACTCATCTATTAAATTTAAGTAATATGAAAAATAAATTCCATAAAATTTTATGTATGTCGATTGGCATATTTTCAATAAATTAAACAAAATATATTTTCTAAAGCTGAAAATTGCTCTCAAGATTTAACCATGATTGTTACATCTTATATTTATACGTTTTAGAAGCAGGGAACTTCAAAATCAATATTTATAAATATAAATTATTTAACAATTTTTGCCATTGAACACATGATATGCGTACATTCCGAATGAGGGTATTTTCATTTAAATTTTGAAAGCTGAATATTGTCAAAGGCAAATTTATGAAAAAATTGGAAACGTATGACTGCATGAAACTAACTTGTATAATTATGCCAAGACAATTAATTATACTTACTAAAGGTTTCTATTTAAAAAAATAATTTAGTTTTTCCGGTTTTTGATCGACAGTTTTTGATTACGATTTACAAGGTTTAAATTAAATAGCAACAGACAAAATGAAATTCCCTTTTTTCTAATTTCTGCGTTGGCAACGCATAAACATAAAAACAGATTATTCGTCGGCAACGAAATATTATCGTACTGCCGATTAGTCATAACAAAAAAAAAAACTCGCATGTGAAATACGTGTTGGTTGCTGTGGATGTTAAAAACTAGGATGCACTGTCGTATATATAAATATATATATGCACACAATGAATAGGTAGTCCATTTAGAGTAGCTGATGTCTTTATTAACTGTCAAAGTACGTAATTGCTACTTGAATTCGATGTGCAATGCTGCCAAATTTTTGAAATATTATAAGGAAAAAAATTGACAGATTGTCGATACCATGGCACAATAAATAGGTAGTCCATTTAGCGCAGCTAATGTCTCGATTATCTGTCAAAGTGCACAATTTCTACTCCATTTCTAGTCCATTTAGAGTAGCTGATGTCTTTATTAACTGTCAAAGTGCGTAATTCCTACTTGAATTCGATGTGCAATGCTGCCAAATTTTTGAAATATTATAAGGAAAAAATTGACAGATTGTCGATACCATGGCACAATAAATAGGTAGTCCATTTAGCGCAGCTAATGTCTCGATTATCTGTCAAAGTACACAATTTCTACTTGAATTCGATGCTCAATGTTGCCAACCATGTGAAATATTACAAGGAACATTTTGACAGATGATCGAGACAAAAATAAATGTTTTTGTTTTAATAAATCACCTTATTATTGCATCATGTGTATATCATATGGTGTTTACAGTTGTCCACACCTATAGTACGTAGTTGATCTAATTTTGAAATTAGCGGAGTAGAAAAAAGTTTCTCCCTAATTTTTGCTTTGAGTTATGAAGAGTGTGTTTTTCAACGTATGAAAAAAAATCAGCTGCGGATGCTTGCGGCTCTTAAACTTATTTACATATTTTGGTGTACACCTTATTAAAATATTACATATTCATTATATGGTTAGAAGTTAAGGAGCATTAAAAAACTTATTGAGGGCCACATAGGAAGGAGATCGACGTATTCCAAACAATCATACATTATCATACACATAGTAAAAATGTCATCGGAAGCGGAAATATGGTGGAATTGGTTTTAAAATATTGCTTCAACATGGTTACATTTGAATTAGGTTTGGTCAGTTTGAATATTATACTTATTTAAATCAAATAAGTCTTTTATTCAGTATTTTATATTACAATCCGACCCTGTTATACCCTTGAACAGCCGTAAAATAAAGGCCAGAAATTATAACATGGATGACACTAAATCGTACATTTGGGAAGACAATATTTTACGTATTGGTGATGTGATGTGTGCTCTAAAAATCTAATGTATTCAAAGTATTTTTCGGTTAATTGAACCTACGTTTAATTGGTTTCCAACCTTAATTGAACCACATGATTGGGAAAAAAATATTGCATTCCAAAACACATGTTAATTTCCTCGGATAAATAAACCCTGTTAATAGATTTTCCCGTTTAATTGGTTCAAAAGTCGTGTTATCAAAAATAAATTTCCTCTTAATTTTCAATGGTTTGACATCATTTGTGAAGAACACTAGGTGGCATCTCTACAAATTGAAAACATATGTTTATTGCTAAAGAAAAACCACCAGAAGCGTAAGTAATTTGTATTTGACAGTAACATTGGAAAATAATTTTATCTTATTGTTAATTTTTGTAGACTATGAGTAGATATGCGATATGTAACTCTTACACTTAAAAAACAGAAATGCGATTTATGAATTAATTTTTAGTTCCAAATGTTCAATTAATGTTGATGCGCAATTAAAAAAACTGTAATAAATAAAGTATATCATATATTTTATTATTAATAAAAATTAACCAAAATAAAACAACTATAGTTAATTTAATTGTATATAAGAATTTTATAGTTTAGAAAGTTACTATTTCAGGGTCCTTTGGAATGGTAGGTGTTCTGAAACGTGGAACAACATCTAAATTGCAACACTTATTAACGATTTTGTAGTTCAAAAAGGCAAATTTTCAAGACCCTTTGTGTAGGAGGTATACCAAAACTTGGTCAAATCCATTAAATTTTTTTCACATATCCAACATGAGAAGGACATACACATAAGCCATATGAGACCTGTTGTGCGCTCTAGAAGTGCGGAGAAAGTTATTAGTGAAAGTATATATTAATAAAGAAAAACATTTGGGGTTGATTAACAGAGAGGAGTTGAAGCCGGCAAAAAGTTCAATGTACATGTCGCTCAAAAATAGATTTATTCCGATCCGATTTACATCTGGAAGAACAATATTATTATACACTCACAAATATACGTTTAGTATTTAAAGGATGACATACAAAAGCAGAGAGAAATGCAGCTCCACGCCAGTAAAAAAATTAACATAAGTTATACTCCGTTAATCGATCTCGTAATATAGAATCGTGTACAGTGCTGAATACAACTTTAACATTTGTTGTGTCGGTGGCGCATGTGAAATATGAATATATTTTTTGTTGTGGAATACCGTCAAGGAACATATGTTTTATAAAACTCATCGCCGCTGCATAATCCCTCTTGGGACCCCGATATTCGGGAAAGAACTTTTCCAGGTCCGAGTACATTATTTTCTCTCTCAGTAAATCTATTTTATTGAAAAACACCACAGTTGAGGTATCTGCAAACCAAGGGAATTTGTGAAGTGATTTGAAGACACTTTTCGATTCAACAAGACGATTTTGTTGATCATTTACCCGCAGCACTTGATCGTATTCGGAAACGGCCGTCAAAAATATAATGGCTTTTACGTTGTCGAAACAGTGTATCCATTTTCTACGTTCGGAGCGTTGTCCTTCAACATCCGTCATTTGAAATCGTACGTTCTCCACCGTAAAATGGTAATCTATCAGGCCGGTTGTTTTTATTCTCACATGCAATATATCACCGTCGGTTGGCAAATAAGAGGGTTCCGCTATGCGATCTATATTTTCTAGAAAATATTTGGCAGAGTCTATTATCTGGTATTTGTTACGATTTCTGTAACATTCTTGGACTCCAATATCTTGCCACAGGTCCTTTATAGCCAATATATACATTCCCAAAGAGCATGCGAATGTCTCAGAATCAGCCGAAGCAATCAGTTCAGCATTTCTTTTATTGGTATGCAATTCGTAATCGATGTTAAGGGAATTCATAGCCGCGACCATTGCTTTCATGGCACTTAGTATATTGTCCATAATACCCGATATAAAAAAACGCCTTTCCTCTTCTGTATAGCCTTTGTCGTAGATAATTCGCATTTGTCGCATGAATGTTGATTTGCCCGATTCGCCAGTACCCAAAAGTAGAAGTCTGATTTTGGCTCCTTCCTCTTTTTGACTTCCAGTGCTCATGAAGTAAGTACACATGTCCCAATAATAGTTCAAATACTTTTATTCTTTATCCTTGGACGAATTAATGTTTACTGCTAGTATACGACAAAAAACGAAATGAAGTAGAAATCGACACTAAATCCATTGTTTGATATTTATAAAAACTAATAATAAACGTCTTATTGTTTTGCGGTTATGCATGTCTCTTTTTCCCTTATATATATTTATATATATAACAACGTTGGTTTTGTGTTTACGTGGCAAAAACTTCAATATACAGTATGAATGGCTTTTGCTCCATTTTTATGATATCGTACTCTATTTATATACTGGAAACAGGTATGGAATACAGTTCGATGTCCTCATCTTTTATACGTGGCATAATTATACAAGGTAGTCTCATGTAGTCATATGTTTCAAATTTTTTCATAAAGTTTACAGTATTCGGCTTTTAAAATTTAAATGAAAATATCTTCCTTCGAAATATGCGCATATTATGTGTTCAGTGGCCATTTTGTTTGTGCTCTCTTAAATTTGATTTAATGTTTTTCCAGTTTTGTGGATTGAGGAACGGGTTTCGCGTAAAAAGTTGTAAAACAGTAAAATGAGTAGATTCTTTTAGGTTCTGGAACGGAACTATTATTTAAAATTGATAGATGAGTTCCAAATTAAAAAGGGTTGCCATCATAAAATTCTCAAATGAGACTACCTTCTGTAATTATGCCATGTCTTTTGTATTATGTTAATATTGCATCCTATGTCTTTGTTATGGTAAGCGTCTCTACAATTATTTGACAACCCATTTTTCCAAAAAGGTTTTTTTTAAACGTTTGCAAGTGGCTTCTGGCATAACATGTTAAGAATAAACACTGGTACCAATGTCTACATATCACCTCTTAAGAACTACAGGCATACTAGTGACTTCCGAATGACAACCACCAAACCAATCTAGTTAGTGTGTTGATTTTGAAAGATATTTGTTCCGTTCACGTAATTTTTTGGACTTTTCCAGAACCTGGAAGAAAAATTCGCTTTCAGAGTGCAATACAGCTCAAAGAGTTTCGGAACCGATTTTGTTTAGGGTTTAACTAGTTTTATGATTATAGAAACTTTTTTCAAGTAAAAAATGAAAAAAATGCAACGTTCAATTAATCTTCAAAAAAGGTTAATACTTTCGTTTGATATCTATATTAAGTTCGTATGTATCTAACAAACTTACTTATCTGCAAGACTTGCTTTCCGAACATGGTATAATTATACAAGGTAGTCTCATGCAGATATATGATTCCAATTTTTTCATAAATTTACTTTTGACAAAATTTAGCTTTCAAAATTTAAATGAAAATACTTTCGTTCCAAATGTACGCACAGGATGTGTTTAATGGCAAAAAATCATTTATATTTAAAAATATTTTGAGTTCCCTGCATCTTAAACCTATAAATATAAGTTGTAACGCACATCCTTACGTCTTGATAGCAATGTAGAGCTTCAAAAAATATACATTTTTAATTTTCTGAAAATATACCAATCGGCATGAATTTTATATGAAATTGATGTATGAGTAACATATTAAAAGGGGTTGCCATTATTAAATTCTCAAATGAGACCACCTTCCACAATATAATAAATAAAAAACATTTATTTTAAATATATTTATTTAGAGAACGAAATAGTCATACATTTCTATTGGTTGCGATATTATTTATAACGGGTTTTATTTAATATTTACAATAAAATTAATTTTACAATTTCTGTTGCCACATATAGACCTCTGGAATGGCTGATGGATATGACAAGTCATACATTTGTGCTCGTATAAATGCTCTCTTGTCCTTTGGTTCTGGGCGTACTGTAGCTAGGCCTGAAATTATACAAGACATTGAATTATTTATTGACGAATAATACAAACACTGGATAAATTAAGAAGATCATGTTTAATGTATTATGCAGTTTTGCGCTGTAAACTATATACTTCGACATATTTTCAGATGTAACAGCATTCAAATGCGACTTTCACAGGAGCGAATTATTAAAAAAAATAATCTTAATCGTATGCTCCCAAAAAGTATTGCAGGCTCTGGAACACCGCTTAGTCATATCTCGTTTTCATTCGTTTGTCATATTATCAATTAGTGCCACCTTGCGGACAATTTGAGTTTGGCCACAATGTGTAGAGTACACTAAATACTAGTTTAGCAAAAACCACAACCACAGAGTACTAAATTGTTTTATTCTTATCCTGTACTAAGTTTGAAAATATTTACCTATCAACGCAATATTGAAACCCTATTATATGCCTGTAAATGTTATTTTCATTGATAACGTTTTCAAACTCACCATTCTTATATGCATATTCCACAATGTAGGCGGCAATTTCGACCGAACATTCAGTAATACTATTCAAGGGCGGATACAACGAACCCTTATTCAAATCATCCGGTTTACACAATTTTGCCAGACATTCAGCTGACATCAGGAACAATTCTTCCGGTATGGTCAACATACCGGCACAGAGTACACCCAGCGCTACACCTGGGAAAATGTATGAATTATTTCCTTGGCCCGGATAGAATGTTTTGCCCTGATATTGTACGGGTTTAAAGGGTGAACCAGAAGCAAATATACATTTTCCTTTGGTATACTGGTAAGCCTGTTCGGCTGTACATTCAGCTTTACTCGTGGGATTTGATAGAGCAAAAATTATTGGGGTCTCATTAAATTCGGCCATCATCTCCAGTATAGATTTGGTAAAGGCTCCACCAATTGCCGCAGCCCCAATCAAGACTGAGGGTTTAATTGTTTTAACTGCCTCTTCCAAGGAATCGACAGGTGCATGATCTTGAGCAAAATGCTTTTTGTGTTCAGTGATGCCACCGGTGGGACGATTTTGTACAATTAAACCCTTACTGTCCACCATCCAGATGCATTTCTTTGCCTCAGCTTCGGTCAGGCCTTCCTTCATCAATGCCATTAAACATAGCCCAGCAATGCCTAAGGCAGCTTCACCAGCACCAAGGAACAAAATTTTGTTCTCTTTCAGTTTGGTGTTCTTGATTTTCAGTGATGCCAGCAGACCGGCTACTGCCACTGAGGCTGTACCCTGAATATCATCGTTAAATGTGCAAAAGTCATTACGGTATTTGGCCAAAAAACGGAATGCATTCGCATTGGCAAAATCCTCGAATTGTATGAGACAATTTTGGCCAAAGCGTCGTACCACAGCATGCATGAATTCGTCGATGAACTCGTCATATTCCTTGCCGGTAATTCTCTTATGGCGTAGACCAATGTAGAGCGGGTCATTAAGTAGGGTTTCTGTGTTGGTACCAACATCCAAAGTTATGGGTAAACATTGACTAGGTTTTATGCCGGCCAGAGCGGTGTACAGGGATAATTTACCTACCGGTATACCCATGCCATTGGCGCCCAAATCGCCTAAACCTAAGATACGTTCTCCATCTGTAACGACAATGGCACGTACATCGGTTTCCGGCCAATTCTGTAAATGCAAACAAAATATTAATATTCACTCATGCTCACAACCTAATATGACCGCAATAAAACTCACCTTAAGAACTTCATAGACATGACCCTTATCCTTAATTGTAATATACAGGCCTTTGGGATATTGAAATATCATACTGAATTTCTGACAAGCCAAACCCACAGTGGGCGTATAAACTAATGGCATCATTTTGGAAACATCTGTTGCCAAAATTTTATAAAATAGACGTTCATTGCGTTCGGCTAGACTACTCAAGTACATATATTTATCCAAGTCAGATTCCAGACGATCCAACAACAACAAACAATGTTGAATTTGTTCTTCTTCCGATTTCACTACAGCCGGCAGAAGGCCATGAATGCCCAACAGTTGACGTTCTTCCAAGGTAAATGCAAGACCCTGAAACAAGAAAGGGGTTAAGAAACACGTATGCCGAATATTTGCAAGTAAATTTAAAAAAGAAATGTTCTTATCATCTACACAAAATAATGAAATAGCTCTTTGCAATTTAAGGGGACCTCCCCATTCTCGATTTTAATTTTTCAAGATTTTCAATGGGCTGGTAAATCAATACCAATTCTTGTTAAGGTTTGTAACTTTGTAATTTACAAAAAAATTTGTAATTGTTTTGTTGTTGTTTTTTGTAATTAAAGAGAAGTCCTTATTTTTGATGGCGGGCATGATAACTCCTCACTGGAACATCGGAATCCGAAAATTTCAACGGTGTTAGAAAGAGTACATGTCTGGCTCTCGTATGAACTAGGATTATTGACTTCGATCTAAAATTAAATTTAGAACCAAGTTAAAAAATAAGGAAGTTATTCACCGATTGGCTTTATGCTAGTTCATACGATAGCTATACACTCACAGAGAAACGTGTAAATTTGGAATCGATTGGGTTATTAGTTTTTGAGTTATCGTGCCCGCCATTCCCAAAAGAGAAAAACGCGTTTAAAGTTTGAGAAGCCCTTCAGCCGCCACTTGATGCTGACACAATAAATCGGCTATATCTTCAAGAGTTCTTGAGATTTTCACTTGAAATTTTGTAGGGACATTTTTGAATTATTGTAGATTCGAATTAATCAAAAAAAAAAAAGACCCCGAGAATGGGGGTCCCCTTAAATAATTAATTCGTAAAAATATTTTATTAACTAGGTATGTACATATTAGATGAGCAGCAGGGGTGTTGTAGGCCTGTTCCTCTTCTCAAAATGTGGACAAAACTTTTAAAACTTATGCAATCGAAAACAATTTACTTTGATAGGAGATTCTTGCAGGTTCTGGTATAGAGCATCTCTATCTAAATTACAAACAATTAAAGATAATTTAAAATTTTAATTTTTAAATTTGCTTTTAAGTTCTGGTGATTTCTTGCAAATTGTTACCTATTTTGTTCGACAACTTTTGCATATTGTTTTATTTATTATTTATTCTAAAGGCGCGTTTAGACTATAGCTTTTATTGTGATAGCTTTTATTGTGATATCGATTTAACTGCTACTCGAGCTCATTTTAATTTTAGATCCACTCA